TATACCGGTATTTCTGCATTTCGGTTTGCATAAGGGTTTTCATAGTATTACCCAAAAATATCGGTAAAATACCGGTATTTTGCATACCGGTATAAGTCCCTGCCTAAGATTACGCCTGAACCAATAATCACACGGAGGAACCGTCTGTATTGCGCGCGCACGTTTTAGATTGGGAAAAATTCTTTTTCCAATCTCAAGGCATCCACCCTCGAAAGCTGTCCTGTATGACTATCTGCTTGAATATGCTGTTCGCCTTAGACTGCACGGGCTTCTGATTTCGCTGGGCCTCCATGATGTAGGAGACCTTGCTTCGCGCTTCCGCGCGCGATATATCACCCCGCAGACCGAGCAGTCTGATCAAGTGATCCTCGGTCATGTCCGGATACATGTTGACCAGAGAGTGCAGATCGAGGGAAAGAATCTCCGTGTCCTCGCAACTCAATACCTTGGGAAAAAAAAAGTCAATTACTTCTCCTGTCTTGTTTGATTGAACGAACAAATTTGTTTTTGTACAAATATTATGTATTATATAAAAATAATTAAATATTTGTTATAATTTATATATTCAGAGTACCTTGGCGAGGTCCTTTATCGTTTGGAACGGGGAATTGAAGTTCTCGATCTTCGGCGCGATTCTGTCGAAGAAATTCTTCAGCTTGTCCGCCTCGGTCATTATCTTCATCGTGCACGCCTTGCACTCTTCGTAGGTTTTCAACGATATCTTCCTTTGCAACATCGCGGATATGTAACGCTTTGCGATCAGATTCTGAGCCTCCGTGATTACGTACTCGAAGTTTTTTGGACTCAGATGCTTGTAGTCCTGAACGTAATCCTCCAACGTGACGCAGATCGTCTCGACCGGGATAGGTGACGACAGCCACTTGGGAGTGATCAAATCCTGGAAATTAAACTCCAAGTCCAGAAACGACTCCTGCAGCAAAATGGCCGCAGCTTCGTTTCTCAACTGTTGATAAAATCCCAAGAGATTTTCGAATTTCACCGTGACGTCTCCGGTGGTGTTGGGCACCCAGTAAAGTTGCTTTATCTGTTGCGCGAGCTCGGTGAACTGCAAGCAGTTGTTAACTATAAGGATCATGTGATGAGTGAAGTCGGGCACTCGGCTTCTGTCCTCGAAGTGTCTCGTTTTGAATTCCAGTATAGCCTGTCTGTACATGGATCCGTATTTAATCACTTGCTCGATGCAAAGAACCAACGCCTGCGCCGTCAGATCTGGACTGATGGTTTTCGTGACTTTTAAATTCTGATCGATCATCTCGAATATAATCACCGGCGCCGCGGTGTGATAATTCAGTTGGTCCTCCCGGATGGTCCTCTCGGACAGAAAGTCGTCCCACCAATCCGATTTCTCCGTTTCCAATGTTTTTCTCATCCAGTCCTCATAATTCTGACACATGTTCCGTAAGTATTTTTCCTGGAGATCGTTTATCATCTCTGGACTGAGCAACGGGCCGATGTCGGATGTGTCTATGTTTAATTCCGGATGACGCATCAACTCCGGCCCCGTGTAAGTGTTCATGATCCAAGCCAGCAGAGAAACGTATTCGTTTCCTTCTAGCCCGCCGGCGATTATGTCCTTCAGATGTTGAGACAGGCTGTTGTGATACATTTTAACAAACGTCCTCACAATGTCGTACCACGGCGGGAAACAGGGCTCGCACAGCGTCTTCACAACTCTCAAGTCCTCGAGAATTAAGAGTCTTGTGAGCTCCAAATATCTCACAAGCCACATTTTATTGTCCGCTCTTTCCTCCACCTGAGTCCCTTCGATCCTGTTAGCCACTGACTTTTCCAACACCTGCATCGCCATTTCTTTCCACTTCTTGGGCCTGCCTGGTGCCATAAATCCGCTTTGCTTGTGCCTCTGAATAGCAAATTGATCCGCTTTCTCTTCCCTCTCTATGATCCTCAGTGGTGTTACTATAACAGTAGGTTCTTTTCTGACTGTATTCAAGGTGCGACTCAACACCAGTCTTATCTGTTTCTCCATGAGCACAGAGAGCATCTCCACATCCTCGAAATAAGCCTTGAGCATGATCGTATCCGCTACCGACTGATTCGGTAGCTTGTGAAGCTCGTACAACAGTTCGTCCCTCGAACTTTCGAGATCCATCAGGCTCTGATGCGCGTAAAGCAACTTGCCCTCGTTTATCCACTGCTTCGTCTTCTCCACGCTCTCGGGCACGGTGAATATGTGCTTCAGATTCTCCTTCGCGATGACGTACTGCGAATGACGCATGTTTTCCTCCTGCACCGCCTGCAACCGGGAGCTCAGCTTCACCACAGAACTGAACAGTTGGCTGATGTGATTCATATCGTCTTTGATAGTGGCGATACTCTCCAGAGAGCTCTGCAGCTGCTCGAAACCGACCCTAACTCCGTCCAACTGGCTCTGCATCGCGGTCTTCAGCATCGTCTCGACGGACGCTTTCTTCCTGCTGATTCTGCGCTTGTACATGTCGATCTTCTCCAGTTGGCCTGGCCGCTGCACAAGATTCGTGACATACTTGGTGCCTCTGTTTATCGCCTCCTCCTCCAATTTTTGTAGATCCTCCGCGTTGGACGTCATTTTGGACGATTGCGTTCTCAACGGTGATGGCTGCAATCAAAAAATGTCTCAATAAACTTTACGAGCATATATCAACACACACATAAACACGCATACACACAAACAAGTGTAACGCAATCGTAGTCCGATAAAGTCTGTGAGATAACATGAAAACAGATAAACTACAAATGTATTTGTCAGTCACCGTCGGGGAAAAGTTCGAAGTAGATCTAGAGACGAGGCGCGCAATAGACTAAAACGACAGATAAAAAACACTTGTCAGTCATCGCGTCGGTGTTGAATGGAGTCATTGTACAAAAATTCGACAAGTGCGACGACAAGTGACGTACACGTGCATGTGTATACGAGCAACGAAGTTCTTTCGATCTTAGATTCAATCCGTTAAGTCTGTACCAGTCGCACGATACTAAAACAAAATACGGGGAGTTTCACACAAGTGAACCATCGGTGAAAATGATATATTTCTTAAAAATTGACGCAACGATGATGCACTCACGCGGTTTTAACTTCTACGCGATGACGTTTCTCGGCTGGAACATACGTCTGTGAGAAACTTCACAAATTGACTCGGACCAGACCAATCCTCGCTGCAATACGCGTGCGAATGAATTCACGCGTCTGAGAATATCCGCCAGAGAGAAGAGGAGGACGCGCGGCGAACGTGAGATGCGCGAAAACATCCATCATCTCACGTTTCTCATCTCGCCTACGCGCGCTTGACTCGCGCAGTCCAGTGTTTTCATGCGCACAGAAATGGCGGATGCTATATTTGTCACGTATTTCGCACTCTTGTTGACATTTAAATTATGCTCAGGTATGTGACGCTGGATTAATGTTAAATTAAAATCGAACTTTGTGCGTCGCGACGCAAGTAATCGCCGCACGATGAGACGAAAAATATCCGCGTTTTCGTAATCGCGCGATTCGAAGCGCGCGATTTTTCACGATTTAGCGTTTTGACTTGGCGACGGTTTTCACAGTTTTTCGACACAGAAATTTTGTATTTTGCTACGCCCACCACCGTGAGCGATTTGATCAGTTTCCGAATTGATTTTATTTTTATTCCGAGCTAACGCAAAAATATCGTATCAAATTGTTGAAATTCTCACTCCCCGATCTCCCGTATCGTCTGTTTACAAATGTTTACATGCAGTTTGTGTGGTTCTTCATCAGGAGACATTGCGTTACAAGAGCAGGATGTTTCTCTTGACAATGAGGGATCGGAGCTACCCAGGCCGTTGGATAACGGCCTTAGCGGCAACGCGAGCAGCCAAAAACGTTTCAAGTGCCATACGTGCGAGGATGCGGAATGTTCCTCATCGCCCAGCATCTGCGAAGACGCGATCACTGTAAACATTGCCGTTGTTATCTCGTTTCTAATCTCTGCCATTAAAAGAGTTTTATGTAAACCGCAAACAATTTTGTTTTTTTATTTTGTAGTGCTGGAACGCAATTGTGAGGAATGCTGATGGCACGGAACGTGTTAGCCGTGGCTGTTACAAAACTGAGGATCACAAGTTGTTTTTGTGCAATAAAGAACATGCCGAGAGCCGCGAGAAGAGACACGTCAGAGTATTGGCGAATGGTGTTCAATACTCTGTTGAATGTTGTCAAGCGGATTTTTGCAACGTCGGACCTTATCCCGCGTTGCAAGATTATTCGACAAGTAAGCGCGTCTTATGCAAAACTGAGAGTAGCGAGAGAAATGTGGCAAATCTAAACCTAAAACAGTTAACATTAATTTTTCACATTTCTGATATAATAATCTTATCTCGCGGTAAGAAAATTTATAAACTTTTCAAACCGGTATTGATTTTTTTAATTCTTGTCACTTCAGATGTAGACAGAGGAAATTACGTGCTGAAGTTAACATTCGCGATCCTCGGACCGTTGGTTGGATTACTGGTCGCTGGGGTAGTACTGTTTTGTTTATTAACGCATCGGACACGGAGAAAACGGCCGATAGTGTCGCGTCGGAACAAACTTATTTCAGATTCCGAGATCGAGCCTTCCATGTTACACTTCTCGTTTTCTTCGCCCACGTCGTCCACCACTTGTCATCCGCACGAGCTTAGGGCAACGGCTGCGGGCGACAGCACGCTCAAAGTACGTGATATAAATTTTACTTGTGTTATTATTGTAATTAACGTAATACGTTTTTAATTAATATGAAATTGTGATATCTTGCAGGAATATCTCGGAGGCCGAAGCTTAACCAGCGGCTCCGGCTCTGGTTTGCCGTTGCTAGTACAAAGAACTTTGGCCAAGCAAGTGGCTTTAGTAGAGTGTCTCGGTAACGGTAGCAGCGGTGGTTTCGGCGGAGAGGTGTGGAGAGGAGTTTGGCACGGCGAGAATGTGGCTGTGAAAATTTACTTTTCCCGGGACGAGGCCGCGTGGACGCGAGAGACGGAAGTTTATTCCAAGCTGTTGCCGTCCAGACACGACAACATTCTGGGATACATCGGAAGCGACATGACCAGCAGAGCTAGCTGCACCCAACTGTGGCTGGTGACGCAGTATCATCCGCTCGGTTCGCTCTTCGACCATCTGAACCGATCGCCACATCCGCTGACTCCTCATCAGACCCTCAACATCTGTCTGAGCATCGCGAACGGCTTGCTCTATCTGCACACGGAGATTCACGGTACTAAAGGGAAACCGGCAATGGCGCATCGCAATTTGAAATCGAAAAATATCCTGGTGAAGAACAACGGGGGTTGCGTGATCGCCGATTTCTCGCTGGCAGCAACGCAAGAGTGTCTCGCGACAGGCAGAATCGACCTGCGGCAAGGAACGAAGCGTTACATGAGTCCCGAGATTCTCGATCAAACGTTAGTAGCGCAATGTTTCTTCTTTCGTTTCGATGTGCAAGCTGAAGATGAAATATTTTAACCGTGCCCTCGCCACTTGTTACGTTTGCTTTTAGAATAAACGCCGAGTGTTTGGAGAACTTTCGGCAAGCTGATATCTACAGTTTGGGACTGATACTGTGGGAAGTCTGTCGTAGATGCGTGAGTAACGGCGTAGCCCTGGAGTACGCAATGCCGTACAGCGAATGGTTGCCAAGTAGCAATCAGGAGCCCTCCATAGAAGAAATGCGTAAATTAGTCTCGCTTGATCAACGAAGGCCTCCGCTTCCAAATAGGTGGCATTCTGATCCGGTGAGTTATCTTAAGTTTTTTTTCTTTTTTTTTTTTGGATATTAAGACCGGCGGAAATAAATCTTCGTTCCTTTCACAGACACTAGCCGGAATGGGAAAGCTGATGCGGGAGTGTTGGCACGGGAAACCAGCGGCCCGGTTACCCATACTCAGGGTAAAAAAAACACTCGTGAAATTAGCGGCTAGTGATTCTCGTGTTCATTTACCTCTCGACTGACCAGCATTCATTTTGCTCGACTCTCTCTCATCTGTGTATTTATTACTGTTGCCGCACCGAACTATCACGCACATTATAAGTTCGATCATCCTCATCGATCACATTTCTACTTTATCGAGCCGTTATATCAAGAGGATAAGAAAATATCGTATATTGACATATCGAATTGACGATGTTAATGAGTTTGTTAATGTTTGGCTAATTGTGAATTTTGTTATCTTCTGTTCTACTCTGTTGTCATTCTGAGGTAACGATAGTATTAAGTACGACGCAACGTAGCGCCGATCAAGCTGAATCATTGAGTATAGAAATATTGTTCAAAGGTAAATGATTGCTCGCCAGGGCGCAACGAAGCTGTTTGAGGAAGAAAGATTTCTTCCTCACTGCACGGCCTTGTCACACCCGGTTGTAGATGATCATTTATCGAATTAGATAATGTAGGAATTATTGTTTTTATTTTCTTTTTTTTTTTTTTAACGCGAATGACGACAAGGAGACTTCCTTAATTATTAATCACTGATTAAGTTTAATGTTACTTTAAACCGTCGAGATTTGAGTGAACATATGCCACATGTACATAATAACCGTTGCGCCCGATTCATAATGAAAACCCAGAAACAACATTTTTATGTTGTTGAGACAATGCTGTATTCTTGAAAAGAGAGTTTTCAAAGATTCTCCCAGCCGATTTCCGCACGATTAATCTTGATCTTTCTCATCAGTAGTAATTTATCTGTTTTTTCTTTTTTTTTTCCTTTTTTTTTTTTGTACTAAATTTATTCGCAACGGCTTCCTTGGAAGTTTAAGACATCGAGATTTTGTTTTATTAAAAAAATTGAAATTTTTAAACTAGCTTAAATCCAGTTTTAAAAAACTAGTTTGAAAGTTGAGAATTAGGCCCGATCAGAGCCGAAAGATCGCTGTTATTAGTGTGTTAAAAATGGTTAACGGAAACTGATTTATCAACAGTTCAATCAAATAATCAAAAAACAAAAAAAAAAAAAAAAGATGTTTGTAAATAGTATATGTATATTAATAATTATTGTAATTGTAATTGGTATCACAGGCCTTTTTCATAGCGAAATCACAATATCTCCTACTGATAAGTTACACAAATAAAACATAAACAAAAAATGTATCATATGAAAATAAGTCACACTCACATATTGAAACCTCTTCAATTGGAACAAGTTCAGGAATAGTTTTTCACTCGGTAAGCGTGCGTGTTACGTCAAACATAAATAAAAATTAAAAAACATTAAAAAAAAAAAAAAAAAAAGACCGAAAGTTCACACACAATAGGAGCAATGTAATATAAATCAGATATAACCATTGTACAAAAGAGAGTTTTTTATACGTAACAAATATACAAATTTTAACTTAACACGTGGCGTGGCGTGTGAGGTACGAGATGTGATAATGGACCACCTTGAAGGTAATCAATTCTCGAGAGGCAATAGCAACAACCTTTGTAACAGCAAGTTGTTGCTCGAGCTTTGATTACCGATGCATTGCTTGACAAATTGACGGAGATGCGACGAGTCGTTCGTGTGCAACAGGATTATGAGCAAATATCGCCACACTAAAGGCTCCAATTCAACGGGGTATTCCAGAAGTTTGGGAAATAAATGCGTCGCGTGCTTCCAGTCCTGGCGAGCGATATACGATTGCATCTCTGACAACGCTAAGCTCTTCGAGAATCCTGTCACTAACGTCTTTTTCTTGTCACCCTCAAAGCTCTTGCAGTAATGAGCAATTTTAGCGCGGTTTGCGACCTCCCTTTCATTCCTGTTCCTCTTCTTTTCGACGCGTTTCTTCACAAGCTCTATAGCTTTGTACTGGAAAGTCATAAATAAGATATTCAGACTTCTCGGTTGCAGGAAGACCATTTATAAACATAAACTTAAAAAAAAATATCAATTGCTGTAACATAAAAATTACGTACCACATTACTTCTCGTATTTTTTCGGGTAAACGTTGAGTCGTTTGACACGAACTGCATGATCGCATCGTACGATCTTGTTTGATTCAATGATCCGTTATTGTTCTTCTCCGCACGAGCGAGGTTGCACGCATCCTAACCTCGTCTGTTCAATCGATTCCGCGCGTATAAGCGCAACCTAGTGCAGTTTCAGTGCAGAAGAAAAGGACAAACTTCAGGAACGGAAGTACGTTCCGTTTAAAACTCAGGCGGGAAGGGATGTTCTTACAGGATTCTTACAGGAGTCTTAGTCTAAAAAAATTAACAACAAGAGTTTGAATTTTTTTCTGGAATAATCTCGAATTTTTTTATACATTCTCTTTAGCCTCTTACTCTATTCAATAATTCAACAATTTACATATTAATTTTATTTTTTATTTGGTTTGAACTCTATTGCATATTTACACAGTATTTTCTAAATTCTTCTGGACCTTTTGCCATTTGGCCACCATGGTCGATACTTCCTTGTGCTTTTTGTTCGTAATTCTCGTCTGAAATCACAAAAAAAAACGCTCGCTTTTAACAACACCGGTCATGCCATTAGCGGCCATTTGTTTTTCTTGCTTCGAGATTGTTACTACGACAAATTAATAAACTGCGAGATCACATTGACTCGTAATAAATAAGACATATTTCACAATGAGATTGAAAAATCTTACAGAGGAATAGAATACCTTCTTCTTTTTTCGTTCTTTCGTCGTTGTGTCATTTGGCATCGTTTCCGATTCAACAATTTCCGGCTTCGTCTCTTCCGTCGGAACGGGCGTTTGCTCGTTCATCACGGAGGTGGTGGCGGTGGCGGTGGCGGTGGCGGCGGCGGCGGCGGCGGTGGCGGTGGCGGTGGCGGCGGCGACGGCGGCAGCGGCGGCGACATCCTGATGCTGCGCCACTTGCTTCGGTTTTTCAATACACGCGATGTCGTTATAAAAGGAATCAAGCGCGGATTTAAATGACTCCTTCGAGGCTTTGATGATTTCCGGCGGCTTGGTAATGACTTTGTTTGTGTAAGTTGTCGGCGCGTATCCCACCATCAGTTGAACCGCACTCTGCCCACTGTGCTTGTTCGCGATTGCGATTGTCTTGATCGAAACAAAAACATTGCCGCGTTAAATAATGAAAAAAAAATAAAATAAAATAAAATAAAATAAAATACACGAAGTCGCTTTATTCAAGTAACACGCTTACGCCTTGCAAATGCTGAAAGGGATAATGAACAAACGATTCCTGCAGCAAGCCCGCCTGATGGCTCAATATAGGTATTGTCGGATTACTTATCGACGGCGCGTAAATCGGGTTACCCTGCTGCGACGCCGCGCTATATATTATCCCCTTCAGCGTGGCCGCTTCGTACGGCGTGTCCGACAGATCCACACCCGGCGGCAGAGGTTCCATGTTCGGTGGTAAAGTTTGAGGTGACACGGTCGCCTGCACGTAGGGCAAGGATTCGAAGGCAGGATTCATCGCCTGCATTGCACTTGGAATCGTTGGCCTATCTGCGTGAAGGAAAAACACAAGATTTTTTTTTAATTGTATCTCAACACACAAAAACAAACTCCCTTTCTCCTTTGTCTTAAAAAAAAACAATCGCGAATCTATAACAATGTCGCATTGTTCATGTGACACGTATTTGTCAAGTATTTCCGCACAATTTCCGCTACTATAATTACCTAAACGTTTTCTCTTCACGTCTAGGGATTTGTCGTCGGGTCTGTCCCTCTTCTTCTTACTCTTCAGATCCGTCGCGAATATCCTCGAAGGTGACGACGAACTCGAATTGGCAGACATCTGCGAAGGTGGTGCCTGTTGTTCCGCGGGCGACGGTCCGTCCGACGCGGTCTCTTCGCTCGTTTTGTTACCGCCAGTCTCGTCCGCTGCTTCTTTCTCCTTTGTCTTATTCGTTCCGGGCAATTCTAGCGTGAAAAAAATTGGACGATGTGCATGTCTGTTTGTAACATATATATATATTGACATATAGATGAAAATAGAACAGAGACGTGGCCTACCCGTGACTGACAATTCTTCGGATTCAGGTGGCGGAGTTGTGCACAATTCCATCTCTTCGGTGCCACCGGCAATACCGGTGTCGGGATAAGTCCACTGTGACGTCCCAGTGGAGGTATTATGATAGTAATACCGTTTATGCGACCTAGAAAAATCCCCGACCGAGGAGGAAAGCGTCACATAAGAAATCACCAATGTCCGGGAATAACGTTTATTATATATATATA